CTGCGAACCTTTGAGCGCGTTGACTGTGTGTGTCTACAACAGCAAGTTATACGCTTGTATATCTTTGAATATTCATTGATTATTATGGTGAATGATGTCAAGTTGACCGTTCAAAGATGGCGGATGCGTCAATGTAACTGGAGCGGTCGAATAGGGCATCTATACATATCTATGATTGTAGTCCCTACTAGCCATAACTGTATTAAACTGCCATAATTTGAATAGACAATATCTCCGTTTGCATTGAACTTTCAGTGTCGTAACGTTGCAGATCAACCACCCCTTTAAAATTTGAAAAAGCTTTTTTTTCTCTTGGTTACATTACATGGACATGTTAACTACCTAGAAATAAATGAGAATATGGAGCCATAATAATCTATACAAAATCATATAATGAAAAACAGGAAGCAGTCTGTGAACTTGTCTGAAGACATTCTTTTTACATGCATTTTTCCTCAGGTATGTGCACTCTATGAATAGAGCAGGTCTTTCTTTTTCCCTCTCTGTCAATCACCTGGCTGATCGGTCACAGGAAGAGCTGGCCATGATGAGAGGACTTAAAAGGACTCATGTTCACAGAAAGGCTCGGCCTTTTCCCTCTGAAGTCCGCTCTATAGCCACCCCTGATTCAATAGACTGGAGGCTGTATGGTGTGTATATCTTGTTTGAATTTGTTGGGTTGTATGTGAAGTCAGATGAATGTATCGTTCCATGCATGTTTAGTGATTCAGATGATACACAGAAGAGCTTTTCACACTTGAAATTGTTAACCCTGGGTCATCCTAAACCCTGGATAAACGGAATCCTGGGTTATCTGTAGTCACGTTTCATACTATACCTGGGATTAACTGTTAATCCTGGGTATTCATTAACAGATGTTTCACACTGTACATTCCTAAACCCCGGATTAATGTTCTTATTTACATATTTTCGGTGTCGCTGTCACTGATTGGATGAACAGCAGGCAACCTGTTTACACAGCTTTCCATCTTTTGATATTTCTTTTCTCTCACCGGCTGCGAACACCGCTTTCAAATTACAGGTGTGAAACGTTTCTTTACCTGGGGTTAAAAGCGGTGTTTAGAATGATGATAACCCGGGGTTAAGCGCAGTGTGAAAAGTACATATGTATTTTCAGGGGCTGTGACACCAGTGAAAGACCAGGCTGTGTGTGGATCCTGCTGGAGCTTTGCCAGCACTGGAACACTAGAGGGAGCACTTTTCCTGAAGGTAAATCTACATTAAAAAGCCTAGACACCATATCCACTTTATTTTGTAAGAGCTTAAATGTGCAAGAATTCAGGTGTCAGCCACCTCCAGTTATTTTAGCTGTACAAAAAGTCTGTTATGCTGCTCAGTATTTGTTATCATATTTATTATCAAAAATGTACAAAAAGTCTGTTATGCTGCTCGGTATTTGTTATATTTATTATCAAAAATATACAAAACTCTGTGATCCTTTTATTGTCTCCATCATATGAGTCAAGAAACAGATTACCTGCTGATGTTTCATGAAAGAAAAAAAAGATGCTGTCATTTAAATTTAATGATTTTTTTTATTCTTACATAATGATAATCTGTTGTTTTATGAGCTGATCTTTGTAATGTCCAACTGAATAAAGTGTTTTACTTCACTGACACAGAATTGAACTAGTCCTTGTCTTTCTCTCTCTTTTAGACGGGACAGCTGACATCATTGTCCCAGCAGATGCTGGTCGACTGTACATGGGGATTTGGGAACAATGGTTGTGATGGAGGAGAGGAATGGAGAGCTTTTGAGTGGATGATGAAACATGGTGGCATTTCTACCGCCGAGAGCTATGGAGGATATATGGGCATGGTGCGTGTACATACACCACACATCTCTACCTAACCCAAACATTTCCGATTGATTTAAATAGTTGTTTAGGTCCCTGCAAAACTGTACAGGAATTGACATCTATAATCAGAAACACTATTTCCTGATTGCATGAAAAGGTCCACGGATTATAATTTGCTTTCTAGAAAGTAAAAACTAAGTTTTTGATCCATCAGATTTTGGTGGTTAAAAGAGCATCACTAATCAGATCACTGTGTGTTTCAGAATGGTTTGTGTCACTACGATAAGTCCTCCATGGTGGCAAAGTTGAGCGGTTATACTAATGTGACCAGTGGTGATACTGTGGCACTGAAGGCCGCTATCTTTAAATTCGGCCCTGCAGCAGTCAGCATTGATGCTGCTCATCGTTCCTTCGCCTTCTACAGCAATGGAGTGTATTACGAACCAGCATGCAGTGAGTCTTCACAATATTTAACATATTATTTGCTTTGTGTAATTTGCCTGATCATCAAATATATCTAACAAAATAAAATAAGTAATATAACATATATACATAGTTTTTCTCAAAAAAAGGATTCCATCTGCAAAACTTTAAAATTTCAGATGGAAACATTTTGGTAAATATGTATATATTAACTATACATATTTACATGCATAATGAACAATTAACAGCAATACATAGGTCATTTAGGTAGGTAATAGGTAATTGTATGTATTTAATTGTATTTTATCATATAAAAATCCGAAATAACATTTTGCAGCCTTTTTTATATGCAAAACTTTTTGGTGTGTGTATATAAATACACTGTATATAAATTTTATTTACTTTTTAGAAATTTAGAATTAGATTGATGCACAGTTAATATTTTAGATTTCAAGTTCATACAAGTACATTCATATTATTTTGAGTACAGCAATGTCTTACAGATTGCCTAAAATCAAGTATTCAGTACTCTTTTCTATAGAAACCAGCAATTAATGTTTTATGTTTCTATATCCACAGAAAACGGGACTGATGACTTGGATCATGCTGTGCTAGCAGTTGGTTATGGGATAATGGATAATGAGCCCTATTGGCTAGTGAAGAACTCCTGGTCCACTTACTGGGGCAATGATGGTTATATACTGATGTCCATGAAAGACAACAACTGTGGTGTGGCCACTGATGCTACTTACGTGACATTAGCCTAATATACTTCCATCCTTCAGAAAAATCATACAAGAATTGTTTTTGACTATTTTATTGCAGATGATGGACAGTTAATCACAGTTTTAGTGTGCATCAGTTGGAATGTCAATAAATGGAAAGTCTTAATAACAAAATGCTTGTTCATTGTAAAATCACATTAAGACTTGCATTCCATCATGCAGCAAAAGTAACACACACACTCATACTTGTTCACAGGCAATGGTCAGTAACTAGCAGGCCTATATAACTGTTTCATTAGACCCCAGTTGATTCATTCTTATGTCCTCAACATTTTAAGACTGAGGGCTGTGGTAACCATCCAGTTTTCTTAATGGTAGTTCCACTAATGGTGCCCTCTTCTGGGAAAAAAATGTTTTTACATTTCATCAGGTTAAAAGACATCACAGTCACAGATGTACCAGACAGTTACAAATTAAGGTCTTATGACAGTAAAAACATTTAGACCATGATAATCATGCAGTAATACATAAAAATGTTTTGGTTAAAAGTATAGTTCACCCTCTTGTTGTTCCAAACTTAAAATCAGATATTTAGAAGAATTTTGGTCAGTCAGTAGTAGTTTGGTCGGTTAGTGAAACTCAGATTCAAGAATGAATCCTTCAGCCTGAACCACCTAATAAGAGCAATTTGTTCACTGATCTAGTTCTCCGGTGCAAGCCACTGACTCGGTGACCTTGTCACAGCTTTTTTTCAGGCTTTTATGTGAATAATGACTTAACATTTTAGTCTGTTCCTCATTCAAAATTTTACACATGGATTCAGAAGACTTTAAATACAGTACAATGCTTTAACGTATTCTGTAGGACACAGAATAAGGGTTTAAAATGGCATGGGGGGTGAGTAAATAATGATAGGTGTATATCCCTTTAAGATCTGCACCCCATCAACATTTAGAACATTAGACAAATCGCATTATAATAAAATAGAGTTAATTTCTATCAAACAATTGCATGCAGTAAAAGTACATAGATAATGTCAGGATATAAAGGTAAAAACTAGATTGTGTCATTTGGCAGTGTGCGGCTGAGATTGAAGTCTGAATTTGTGACCATGGATCATTACAGCAATCTCATGACCTTCTGCAGTAGTGTATGTATCATTGGCTCAAGCAAAGTTGGCAACATAAATATTACTCCCACTCTACATTAAACCTCTTTGTGTGTATGATGATGTTTTTTTTTTTTTCAATAAAGCAACAGAAAAACAATGCAGTCAAACAACTGACAAAACAGCACTAAACAAGATACTTTCCCCTCTAGCTACTGAGCTAAGATAATTCAGGATACTAACATGCCATTAAACAATTTTAACCAGGCATAATCTTTGGGAACTCATCTCAACCAAATCTAAATGCAACCCACTGTCCCCACATAAGACAAATCCGGTGTAATTCCCAAACTGGATATGATATGTCAAGAACTACTTTACAAAGAAGGCACTGGTTCACTCTCCACTAGACCAAACACTCACAAATTTGCCATTTAGTGAGTGGCAGTTGGTGTTAGTGGGAGGTACATTCTCATTCTAGAGAGCATTTGATTGGACAAAAATCTGCGTCCAGTCATTAATATTTTTGGTCCATTTGCCAGAAGAAAAAAAAACACATTTTAAATGTAAATATCTGTTAAAAGTAAACTGAATTAATTTAGTTCGGCTTAATAATTCACAAATGTTCCCTTATGTTTGTTTAGAGCATCTCTCTTTGTTTTGCATAGAGAGGTCTGATAAACATTTGATGCACAAATTGCATTGCTTTCAGACCCGGTCATCCATTTTTTAAACTTTACACTTAAGTTTAATCAAAACTGCTAATCCTGATGTAAATCAATCAAAATATTAACAATATCTGTCAAAGTCACAAAAGAGGCATTTTTGTATCAAAACCTGAACCATTTCCAAGTTTCACTGATCATCAGCAAGACTAATAATGTAAACACACTAGAATGAGAGTTTGTGTGTTATCATATACATCTAACTGGACTCATCTGCTAAACACTGCAGTTCCTGTCCTGTGTTGCTTGGCAATTGGCTTGTATGTACAGGAATTTGTCCGTCATATTTCAGAGCCGACCTAAAGGAGGAGAGAGGAGAATAAACTATTTGAGATGTGTTTTCAGGGTAACAGGGTTTTCATTTTGCAGTAAACTATTCCTTTAATTGTATGTGGTGTTATTATTTACCTCTCTGTATCATGAATGCTGTCTGGTAGTGGTTGACTGGCAGTCTCAGGCAATGCTAGAGCAAGCACTGCAGCAAGCAGAGGGGTGAAGCCAAATATCGCCATGGGCACAACAGGTGCATGGCGTCCAAGCAGGTTTATTAGTGGCGCTAAAACTCCACCCATCCGTGCAAACATAGAAGAAACACCAATACCTGTTTGCCTGTAGATAAAAAAGCCAAATCAGGTATTATTTCCATACGTTTAACTATATGCTGAAATCAAGCATGCAAGCTCTTCACTCCCACCTGATTTTCATGGACTTGCTAACAGATCGTGGCTTTTGAGAAGGTTTTGTGTGCGAGTACCTGAGAACAGTCGGGAATAGTTCTGCAGAATAAATATAGATGATGGCAAAAGATGCTGTAATTCCAAATTTCCCCACCATGGCCAAAGCAATCCGAATATGAGCACTGTCTAAGAAAAAAATGTTTGATAAGAACATAATTGAAAAGACTAATAAATTCTAGAAAAGTGCCTCTAGCCATGTTTGACTGGTCACCTGCTGGAACAGTGACAGTCAGCAGACATGCACCGCCTCCCACAGCAAGGAACACACTCAGTGGGATTCGTCGACTGTAGGGCAGGAGGACCAACACCAGCGACCTTGCAGGAATTTCCACCAATCCAAACATGAACTGAGTGAGGTAAAGGTCTGCCCCGAAGTCTGACACACCCAGAGACAGACCATAATACACCAACACATTAACAAACCTGGAGAAACACAGAGACGTTAAGTCAATTAAGGGACACCTTTATGTGTGTGTGAAGGGCATGATTACAAACACTTAGTGTTGTGGAGTAACTATAGTTACATGTGGCTAAATTATGTAATTTAATTACAAAATAAATGTAACTGTAATCAGTTACAGTTAATAAGAAAAAATGTGTAATTAAATTACAGTTACTTATGAAAATGTTAATGATTACAGATGGGTGGTTACATCTTAATTTTTTTTCACACACCCACATACAGATTTAATTGATTTCATTCATAAATTGCATTGACTGCTCTAAAATGTGAGACACCAATGTTTCAGGAGTTTAGTGCACAGAATAGGACACATGCTTCTTCGATAACTGCTTTATTTCCTATTTGGGTTTATGTATATGCTTTATTTTTTAAGATTAACTGTTTTTTCCAAGCCATTATTAGATGCCAGTGTTTCCTGTCATAACTATGCAAAGATTTGATTTAAAAAACAGTATCATAGCTAAACTATTTAGCTACTAATAGTAGCTAATAGCATACTAAACAATTTCTTGTTATGGTTTTAAATCTGTATTTAACCTTTAAAATTAAATTGTTATAATCTTAATTCAAGTGATGAAGTATTTCGAAAGTGACAGTAATCAGTGTTGAGCACTACTGTAAGGTTAACCCTGCCTGGTTTACATGTTTGAAAATAGTTACAAGTTGAAAACATTAGCTATTTAGAAAAGTAATCAAATGTAATCAGTTACATTAATAAAGTAATTGAAATAGTTACACTACTTATTACATTTTATATAGGGTAACTTGAAATCTGTAACCTATTACATTTCCAAAGTAACCTTCCCTACTGCACACAATCGAGTTTGTGGGTGCTTCTTCAACTATAGGAGCATTTGGAACCCTGTGGATTTTTAGAATACAAACACTTTTCACTCGCTGACTGGAGACATCGGTCATACTTGGGTTATTTTTTAAATGAAAATCATGAATTCCCACCACAGTGTCATTTCCATCACATGTATTGCGTTTTCATAGCATTTTATAGCTTTATTTTTTTTGTATAAAATGGCTGGTTTCTCTGTCTTGCTAAAGCAAATTTCATAACTAGCATTTCATGTAGCTTAAACATATACTATTTTTGTACATTTTTGCAGAATTTAATAAAATTACAGCTTGATTGGAAATGACACACAACAAAAACATTCTGTTTATGGGGTGATATTTACTTTGATTAATATTAGTGTTAAGATGGATTTTCATGTTATGGGACCATGGTAAAACATTAACATAATAGCCATTTGAAATGTAGCAAGAATAAAAGATAAAGGCATAATCAAATGTGACTTTCATATAACAAAAAGCACAAAGTTAAAATCTCTTAGTTTGAATACAAATATAAACTGTCTTTCACTTTTTTTGGCTTTTTTCTCAAATAAAAGTCATATATAAAATTGTCTGAAGTTGAAGAAACATAAATATACATATCTATACAGCTACTCATTGTAATCTCACCAGATGTAGAAGAGTATGAGAGCTCTCTTCCTCATCTGTGGAGTTCGGAGCAGGTCAACAGCTGTATATTGACTCCGTCCTTGTGGGCCCTCATATCGCTCCACCTGTGATAGCAAAAATAACACTTTAATACTTTGTAACAAATGTTATGAAACATCCTGTTTTTGAATGATTTCTGAAGGATTGTGTGACGCTGAAGCCTGCGGTATGCTGAACAATCAGCTTTGCCATTTAAAATATATTTAAAAAGAAAACAGTTGTTTTAAACTGTAAATTGTACAGTACCGTTTTTACTGTATTTTTGATCAAATAAATGCATCCTGTTTTCCCGTTCAAGTTACCCAAACACATATACATTCATAACAATAAGAAAAACCTTGCTAAATGCAGTCATTGACCTGATGATGTGAAAGTCATCTACTTGTTGCCCTGGTGATGTGAAGTGAAGCTTCAGACTATCACTTCTTAAAGACTAAAAACAAAGGCCCCTTGGTTGCCCAGGGTGGGGGATGGCGTTGTCATGGTGATGCTAACAGAGCTATTAGAGAGTTTATGGGATTTGAAGATTGTGCCAGAGGCAAGAAAAAAGCCAAAAAGAGAGCAGAGAGAGTGAAAGGGTCCAAATTTTTGATACCTGAACAGTGGGAGGTAAAGTGCGACCATTGACCGTAGCTGCCTTACGCAGAAGATCAATCGCCTCCTCATTTCGGTTATTCACCAAAAGCCAACGGGCCGAATGTGGAAGAACCCTGAGAAAAAGGAGGAGAGGAGGATGAAAGGAGATTTATGCTGTCAGACTGATAAAGGCAGAGGAAGGGAGGAAGTCAAATAGCAAGAGTGAATGAAAAAGAGAATTGAGTACTGCTTTTTATGTACTCTTTTGCAAGGCCTGATTGTGTAAGGTAAGACACTGAAAATTATACCATCAGTGCTTTTGATAGTAATTATTTATAAATAATAATAATAAATGTACATTTATATATAACAGATTTTAAAATGTTTATCTCATAGAAAAACTGTTGTTTTAAATTGCAACAATATTTCACAATATTATTTGTACTTTTACTGAATTTTTGATCAAATGCATGCAGCATTGAAGCATAAGAGACATCTCTCAAAACAGTCAAAACTCTTATCGACCACAAAAACTCCACTTCTCGAAATGTATGTGTTAACTCAATATACACTTGTGTGCTGTCTCACCATATATAGAATATGAAGAGAAATCCTGGTGCAGAGATTGCCAGCTGCAGCTTTCTCCAGTCTCTGATGAGATAAGCCACACCTGCCAGCAGCGTGTAGCCAAAACCAAAGAAGTAGTCGGTGAAGATGCCAGCCAGCATCCGTCTCTGTGTGCAGGTCCACTCTGTGCCTGTGCAGGAGGGGTGAGGGGAGGTTAAGTGTTCAGGGGGTGGTTAGGTTTGGGGTTTAAGGGTTCAACTTAGGGTATTTAGGTCTGTGGTAAAGAAGAAAAGTGCGCTTGTTACTGTTGGCATATAAATATGTCAATGGCACTGCTGGGGGGCACTTGAAGGGTTTGGGTTGAGTACAGGTAGAAATCAGTTAGAGAATAGTTTCTATAGAATAGAGTTCATGGATTTTTAAGGAAGTTTTGTATGCATGTTGGTATTTGAGGTTTTGCAATAAATCAGGAAAAAACACTCCAGAACATAATAATGAGGATGATACTGAGGTCAATCAGACCCTCCTCCTATGGTACAGCCCACCTGCTACAAGTCAGGGCATGTCTTGACTTGTCTAGTAAAGGCATTGGGATATAATATCACATTCCTATATCAATTGAGAGGAATATTTGGGGTTTTCAGAAAGTCACACTGTTAGAAATTTTTTTCTTTTTAAATGTTTCTAAAATGTAAGACTTAAGTATGCAGGTGAGCAGAGGTTCACTATGCAAGTTTTACTTAAAATATAATTTAGATGATTTTTTATCCAGCATGGCTAACTTTTTTTTATTTCACCTTTAACCTGAGGTTAAGTGTCTTGCTCAAGGGAACAATAGCACTTAAACAGAAGAGGGGTCAGATGTAACCTTTAGTAAAAGCTCAGATCATCAATTATGCCAGTTAATGTTCAACTCATTCTATTATTAGTAAATGTCTATAATTATGTCAAGAAACATGCATGATCAGTGATAACTAATAAAAATAGATTATGTTAATTAAGTTGATGTCTTCCTGATATTAAAGGGATGGTTTCAAGTTCCAGTGACTGCCATAGTGTGGACAAAAAAATACTACGGAAATCAATAGGACTTGAAACTGTTTGGTTAGCAACATCCTTCAAAATATCTTGTTTTATGTTCCACAGAAGAAAAAAGTCATACAGGCCTGGAACTACATGAGAGTGAGTCAGTGATTTGTATTTTTGAGTGAACTATCCCTTTAGTGACTAGAGAGTTACTTTAGTACTCCAAGTCTCACCTAGAACAAACGCATTGATTATCACGCCCGACACTGTCATTCCTATGATGAAGCGCAGGGTGACATAAACGGGGAAGTTTGGAGCGAAGGCAGCAGCCACACCAAACACTGTCTGAAGGGCTAAAGACAAGAGTATGGCAAACCTCCTCCCATACCTTACAGAGAGAAAGAAAGAATGAGAAAGACTTGATGAGAAATGCTGGTGAATGGACAGTTTTTTTTTTATTAGAATCATACAATAAAGGCTTAAAATTATATATGAAGTGGATTCAGCTGAATTTTTATTCAAAAACCCTGCTGACAAGTAACTCTGGTACTTGCGTTGTAATAAAATCTCAAAAATATGATGGCAGTTTAATATTGTAAATTTTTATTTTTAGTGTTATTTTAGCATTTTAATGCTAATAGCATTTAGCATTTAAAAGTATGTTAATATAGCTACATTTACATGATTTTAAGACATATTGGGGCCCCCCTGGAACTTTGCCGAGGCCCCCTAATGGGCCCTAACCCCCTGGTTGAAAACCATTGATATAGTACATACAAAGTATACAGACCACTAAGTTGGAAACAGTGAAGCGTATTTACTTTCTGTGAATGCATAAAAAAGCTCTAGGCAATGTGCATTTGACATTAAAAATGTATGTATGGGCATTTAATGCATAAAGAGTTGAATGGGAAGCAGGACAAAGAAAGAGAGATCAATGAGCAGGGTATGACCACTAGATTCCTTCAGGTTGTTTAGGGTGAACAAAGCACACATGTGAAGTGTGAGGATGCAAATGTATGTGAGATTGTGTGTACATACTTGTCTGCCATAGCTCCAAACACAACAGCACCTACAAGCAATCCCAGCATATAGATAGAGGAGCCCAGACTGTTTAGACCTGCCTTGTCACACACCAGATCCCACTGCACAAATACATACCCTAGTATTAGTCGATAAAAGTAATTACTGGCATATTATTTTATTTATTTTGCACTTTTTTCTTCCTTGCAAATCTTATATTTATATATTACCATACAAATGTTTATAGGATTTATTAAAGTCCCTTATGCTCACCAAGGATGCATTTATTTAATCAAAAATACATTAAAAATAGTAATATAGTGAAATATTATTACAATTTAAAATAACTGATTTCTATTTCTATTCATTTATTTTAAAATGTATTCCCACAATGGCAAAGGAAAAATTTTCTTCAACGTCACACGATCCTTCAGAATCATTCTAATATGCTGATTTGGTGCTCAAGAAACATTTCTTATTATTATCAATGATGAAAAATGGTGCTGCTTAATATTTTTGTGGAAACCGTTATACATTTTATGTTCAGGATTCTTTGATGAATAGAAAAGAATAGCATTATTTGAAATATAATTTTTACCTATGTACCTATGTTTTGTTGTGTGTGTGTGTGTGTGTGTGTGTGTGTGTGTGTGTGTGTGTGTGAGAGTGTTGTATTTTACTGTCACTGTTGCTCAATTTCTTAATTTAATGCATCCTTGCTCAATTAAAGTATTAATTTCTTAGGGGGGAAAAAATCTTAGACCATCTTAGTGACCCCAACCTTTTGAACGTTTGTGTATAGCTTATATTTTAGATTGTGTAACATTATAGATTATAAATGTTATTTTATTATACTGTATGTAATTACTTAAACTAAATAGTTTATTTTATTACATATTCCTGTTATGTTAAATTAAATTTCGTTGCACCCATTTAAGAAATAAAAACTTTTTATTTAATAAAGGGGTCCTATTATGCTCTTTTACAACGTATTGATTTTGTTTTGGGGGTGTACTAGAACAGGCTCTCATACTAGGTTGTTCGAAAAACTCATTATATTTCACATATTTTACATTATTACAACGCCTCTCTCCCCAGTCTGGCATGAACGGCTCGAATAGTTCCTGTATCAAATGAAGGCCCGCCTTCTGAAGCTCAAACAGCAACATTACAGACTAACTAAAGTTGAAAAAGCATAATAGCACCCCTTTATTTAACATTTAATTATTCTGAAGAACGCAGACCCGCGTTTACCTCGGTGACAGTGGTGCTCTGGAAGATCTCGTGGCTGTACACCCATCCTGTCTCACAAGTTGAGTGTGTACTGTGGTTCTTTCCTGAAACTGCTGCGCACGAGTCCGCATGTCCTGGCAGAAGAGAGATGCTCAGATTCACATTTGAAAGGTTGCCGACAGTAAGGGACGCGTTCTCCATCCCTAAACCCCAACAATGGTGGGGTGGCGTGGCGCCTGTGAAGACGCTCGCCATCATGTGGAATGCGAGAAAGATCTGCGGTAGACATATCCACACATACAGAAGCTTCTGATATCTCCCAAAGCCACCGATTGTGGCCAGCAGTTGATCGAAATTCATTTCCGACCTTGGAAAAACAAGTCTCGAGAGTCTTCACACCTCCATCGAAATACAGTGAGCAAGTGTACACTGACGATCAAAATTAATGTAGATTTCTGAATATATGCCAGAAATAATTTTTCAATCCATCATGTGTTTTAATATCCTGAAGAAAGCGCACGGAGATCAATAACAAATGTTTACACAGCACGTGCCATTGTGTTGTTGTTATCGTTGTTGGTCTACAACGGCATCTTAAAATTATATTTGTGGCTTAAAAAGACGCTCAAACAAATCCTGATCAAGAAACAAAGAAAAAGACAATTAAAAGCCAAAAAATGTCAAAGTGAGATGATGTCCACTTTCCAGGCGCCTATATTTCCACGAATCGCGACAGATCTGGTTTGACTGCACGGGTTCGCGCTCCGCTTGTTACAAAGGCGTGAAACAAAACAACGAGAAAGGCTGGAGCAGAACCACATCGTCTGGAATGGATCGAGAACTGCTGCGTTGCGTTCAATCTCTGGACCAGCAATCATGAAGAATATAAAGGTTAATAAAAAGCAAACTTTAGTGTTTCTCCGCTATTGTCTGGAGTGAAATTGCTGACTAGTTTGGAGTTTTGCATTAAACCCGCGGCTGCTGAAATGCTGGTCTAATTGGGACGCGCGACGCGCATAATGAGACTGTAAGATCAAAGCTCTCTGTAAATTAGTCCCACGCGACCCACCTTACACGGGAAAAACAACCTCCGGGTGAAAACAAGAAATGAGATATGGTGACTTGGAGAATCAAAAGCGTGCTTTCAGACAGAAAGAGGTCAGCTTTTCATTTCAAACGCCAGATAGGCCTACTTTTGAATTACAACCTTTAAATTAAAAAACAGAAAAAACCGCTGCAACAGAACAACAAAAGAAAAATTAACAATGAGCATCCTATAATGGACATGCTGCATACAGACATTATTCATATGTCTTCAGTGAATACCAGCTTTTCTGCATTATAAATTAGTAATAAAAAATGACTAATTAATAGGCTAATATATTACTAATAAAAAATTAAATTTTGATATATTTACAGTAGGCTAGAAAATGTACAAACTATTTTCATCAACATGGTCTTTACTTTTTATCCTAATGATTTATGGTGTAAAAGAAAAATTAATAATTTTGACCCATACAATGTATTGTTGGCTATTGCTACAAATATACCTGTGCTATGACTTTATGGTCCAGGGTCACATATCAGTAAGGAGTGGTGATAAAAATGCAGTACTAAAAGCAACTGCTTACTAATCTGTTAATAGGCTTTAACACAAACTATTCACCATGACACAGGGTGGCAGAAGAGCTGGACAGAAATCAACAAACACATTTACATTGTAGCAACGTAATGTGTTGTTCTGTACACGTTCATGCAACCGTGTGAAAGAAATGTAAGACCCAAGAGGGTTGTAGAAATCATGTTAAGCAACATTCATCAGTTGTGAAGTAGGCGACCTTCTGACTACATCTGTTATTTCCACAGCAACACACTGGATCACACACGTCCTGTTCTTATATTTTTTGTGGTAATATTGTGGTAACATTTCATTTTAATGTGTACTAATACAGTAAAACTGCAACCAAAGTTTTGTAATATTATCTAAATTAATCTATTAAATAAAAGGGGAATTGATTTAGGGGTCCATATTCACATGCAATGTCAACATTTTAGACTCAATGTGTATAAAATTATCATCATTATCTATTACGAGGTGGCTGATTAACAAAATGAAATGTAAAGCATCTGTATCCAGTTAACTTTTATTTGTTAGTCTTGCCAATAACTCCCAAGGTTCGCTACAGCGTTTATTCAGCTGCTAAAACAAATGGCCTTCACTTTCTGATGTGAATGGAATTTAGCGTCCTGGTGGGCTTGCTTTTTTGAGCAGGATTTTACTATTTACATGCTGTGTGAGGCATGGAAGGTTTCAGGCACCCCATGAACAGAAAGGCCTTAAGTTAGCATGATCATTCAGCGATTTCATTAGATGTAAATGTGCCTCTTTTGATGTGACTTTAGAATCAGTATTAATTTAACTGTTAGTTCTAAGAAATAAAAAAGTTAATGTATTATTTCTGTCAACTAGAGCATCATCATCTACCTCTTACCTGTTGAAGGAGGGTCATTTGTTACCTGCCATTTAGCAGACACTTGTTCCTTTGAACATTCTCTTACTCTTTAACTACGAAGTAGGCCTAACTGTATTTTTATGAGGCCTGCCCAGTGAACTGAAGCTTAATCTATAGAGCTGTTCAGTCACATCGAGTTGTAGGCCAACCAAGAAGTCTAATTCACAGAGAAATCTAATTTCCTTTGGGTTTTTAGAGCAGTGGCTTTGGATTTATGAGTACAATAACATCTAAGATATATAAGGACTACAACAGTAAACTCAAATTCTTGTGGTAGAGTAGTAATATACCATAATGTTAGCTCATTGACTTACTACTCAGTAAATAAATAAATAAAATAGATCTTCCAGGTTTTAGGTTAACAAATAAAATAATTAAACAGTTCTATTTCTATTCTGAACGAATTTTTAATATTCTGCTTATGTTTGCTCATGTAGCCTAAATATTTATTTGATTATTATATTTAGCTTTACATATAAACTTCAAACACATCACTTTCTCAGCAGAACACATTCTACATCTAAAGAAATGATCACAGAAATAAACACAACCCAATATCCCACAATGCCTAGCGCGTATTACATGGAGCGCATAGCAGTAGCGTCATTTCCGTCAATTTTGAACATGGAGGCGAATGGACTGAAGCTGAATTTCTGGGAGAACGGACCGAAACCCGGTCAGTTTTATTCATTCCCGGGTAACAGCAGCAGTAGTGCGGCTCCAGGATGTGGACCCATCAAACACACACTGTAAGTTCATCACGACTTGTCAGTTTTTTGCTTAGCAGTCAGTAAGTTTGTGCTTTCGATTTGCCTTTCTCTGCTGCATCATCATGGAGGAAAGTCGCTGTTTACCCCGGAAAATTGTCTCAGATATATATTTTAAAATATATTCGATTAGTTAGATGTTTACGTTACTCTGAATGTAATTTATATCTCTTTCTTTTTCCACTCTTCGTCTAGTGAAAAAGTACGAGTGTAATGGTCCAGTGATAAGTTAGCTTGTTAGCAATAATGCTAATGAATAGGCAAATATCAAATCCAGTGTTTTAATAGACTTATTTATGTACAATATATATGAGGAAGTATATACGAAGTACAATATATATGTCTTGGCATAATTGTGGACATACATGAGACTAATAAAGACAATAATTAAAATTAAAATACACAATATAAAAATCTATACGGCCAATTAATAAATAGAAATCTGCATTTTTGATCAAATACATGCAGCCTTGGTGAGCATAAGAGACTTGAAAAATCTTACAGACCTTTGAACGGTAGTGTTAAATGCATATTTACATTCAATTTGTCTTTTTTTAATTTATAATGTCTAATGTTTCTCAGCAACCCCATGGTAACGGGCACATCAGTGCTGGGTGTGAAGTTCACTGGAGGTGTGATCATTGCTGCTGACATGCTCGGCTCTTACGGCTCCCTGGCGCGCTTCCGCAACATCTCCCGACTCATGAAGGTCAACAACAGCACCATCCTGGGAGCCTCGGGAGACTATGCTGACTACCAGTACCTTAAGCAGGTCATTGAGCAGATGGTGTAAGTACACACACATTTGTTTATGATTCGGTTGAATACTTTGTCATGTTTGAGACCTCACATCAGTGTACGTTAATAGGTAGAACGTGATCTGTGTTTGTTTAGGATTGATGAAGAGCTTCTTGGAGATGGACACAGCTACACCCCTAAAGCCATCCACTCCTGGCTCACGCGGGTCATGTACAACCGCCGCAGCAAGATGAACCCCTTGTGGAACACAGTGGTCATTGGTGGATTTTACAATGGAGAGAGGTGGGACAGTGTCCAGACAACTACTGTTGAGTGTACAAAGTAGATGATTTGCGTTTGAATGAAAGTCAATTTGAAAGAAAATTCACAATCCAATTTTTTTTTGTAATCAGTGAAACAGAGAGGGAGAGAGAGACTTGATTTTATTTAATGGGAATCCCTCTCAAATAACAGGTTGAAAAATTAAAAGATATTGGTGACTAAGTTTGTTAAGAGGTGAATTTACAATGCGCGAATTATTACATTTTGATGAAACATTATAAAGAGCATTATTTTTCTTTGAATTACTGTTAGGCCTAGTGTCATTTTAAAGTCAAATTTATTTGCTTTTCACAATACACATTTTTTTTCATGGTGTTAATGTTTATAATAATATCCTAATATCTTCATGTCTAATAGTCACATTTAGCAGATTAGAGCTGGGTGATACTGTAGTTTACATTTTGCTATATAGTAATAACAGTATACATAGAGCTGGGTGGTAATACTGTTATATTTTGTGATGAAAAAACAGGCAGTTGATATTTTCTATATAGTATGTATCACTTTACATGAGTGTATTGTATGTAATTATTTTACTTTATTAACAGAATGTTTATAGTTTATATTTTTGACAATAGAACATTTAAACAGTTTATTTTCTAGACTGTATTCTATATTGTAACAATTCTATATTGCGTAGCACTTAACATAAGTGTACTGTATGTATCTATGTAATATATACTTATAGTAGTTGTATGATTCATTATTATTTATTTGTTGAATAATTTCAGTTATTCACCTGCGAGTTTTTGTTCAGTTTATGACAATTACTATTCGGTGATGTGTATCACTTACAGTTATATAGAAAGTGAGGTCAGTTTTGTGATTCGATGACTTGGAGTTGTCTGCTGTTATTTAAATTTAATTGAACAGTTGTTTTTGTCACTCTCTTAAGCTTTCTTGGTTATGTGGACAAGTTAGGAGTTGCATATGAAGCCCCAACAGTAGCAACAGGATTTGGTGCTTATTTGGCTCAGGTAAGGTTTTCTTTTTTGTTCATCAGATAATCTTGCTTTTAAAATTTAGTTAAAAGCCTTATGAACTCATCATATATGCTTGTGTTTTTATATAAGCCCTTGATGAGGGAGGTGATGGAGAACAAGGTAGAAATCACAAAGGATGAGGCACGAGCGCTGATAGAGCGATGCCTGAAAGTTCTGTACTACCGTGATGCCCGTTCCTACAACAGGGTAAGGCATGCTTTCTTCTATTTGTCCTTCATGAAAAGATCCTTATCTCAGGTGCAACATTTCATTGTAAATGTGTTTTAAGAAACAGAAAATAATAAATTTTCTTGGGACTTCCTGTAGCATGAAATCGCCATTGTAACAGCTGAAGGCGTTGAGATTATAGGACCACTGTCATCTGAAACAAACTGGGACATTGCCCATCTGGTCAGGTAGGCTGAAATTCATGATTCATCGAAATATTTTCTCACCATTTATGGTTTAATAGACATTTTATGGGATTAGTATAATCTACACTTCTGTTTGGAAACGTGGGGTTGGTAAGGCTTTTTTAATTTTATTGAAAGTGCAGGTGTACAATATTTGTTTTTATTGAAAATGACAGTAAAACAGTAATATTGTGAAATATTTCTTTACAATTTATTTATCTTTTCTATTTAAAAATGTCATCAATTCCTGTGATGGAAAAGCTGAATTTTCAGCAGTCATTACCGCAGTCTTCATTGTCACATGATCCTTAAGAAATAATTCTAATATATTGATTTAGTGCTCATGAAACCTTTATTATGATCAATGTTGAAGACATTTATGCTGATTAATATTTGTGTGGAAACCGTCATACATATTTTTCAGGATACTTTGATGAATCTAAAGTTCATAACATTATTTATAAATGTCTTTACTGTCACTTTCAATTCAAATGAATGTGTCCTTGCTAAACAGAAGTATTAAAAAATAAAAAAAGTTCCTGACCTCAAACTTTTGAATGGTAATGTATTTAGTGCTGTGCAAGGTTGTTGGATATACATATCAGTGGAGTGCATAGTTAAATTTAGTTAAATCATGATTGCTGATTCATTGTATTGACCTACTAACTGATGTTTGTTTTTATTGCAGTGGTTTTGAATGAGTCTGGTTCTGCTGCCCGTTTTGCCACATCATCTTTGGACATGCTCTTAGCACCACCAGATCACTATTGTATTGTCAAGACTACAGTTAGAATTGTTTCTTGCTCTTTTGTTATACATAAACTTCATAAAATTGTTTGCCATGTGCTCATTGTTCTTCTATAATTGGTCAGTAAATCAAAAATTCACATGCAAGTTTTGAAAACACAGAATGAAAACACAGAGTAAAAATGCACTGAAATACTGGTTAAACTAAGCCAGCATTAAAAAAAAATCCCTGGTGAGGTAAAAAAATGTTTCTATGAATAAAAATGTCACATTCTACCACATTAAAAGACAACACATGATTGTTCTTAAAGAAAAAACACACTGCTTGCATTACATCCCTAAAAGTGTTTATTCATTATGTAATCAAGTATGTTACAGTATAACCCTAAATACAGCAGGTAATGATTTCAAATAATTTCTATTTACATTTATGCACATTATGACAACAGATCAAATCTGATGAAAAGGCATTAAGTGATAAGCTAAACCACAATGTGTAACACGTTGGACCTTTGTAATTCAATGAACAATAGATGCCATGACTACGCAGGACTTCACACTAGGAATCTTTAGCACCCATTAATACAACAAATATTTACACATGCTAGCAATAACCTGCATTTACGTAACTCATTTTCATAGACACTTAAGTTGAGCAGTTAATTTTATTCTCGAAACATGAAATCTTGGTAGAATGCGGCACACAAAACACCTGCAGATTTAAAAAAAGTTCTTGACCTGTAGAGCCGACAATGCTATTCCATTTGACTTAATGATCTATAATTTCTGAATCCTCAAAACCATGGAAAGACTCCACATCGCTGTCCTTCTCAAAGAGACTTCTTAACGCAAGCATGCCTGATTGTGGAGAGGACCAAGATTCCGCAGAAACAATACTAGAAGTCTCAGCTTTCTGCTCCTCAACTTTGTCTCCTTGCAATTTACTGACAAGCAGAGCTTCAGTAAGACTTCGCACCAGCTCAGAGGGTTCCTCAGATGTCACCTCTGGGTTTGTGCTCAAAACCCGATCAAAAGAGCGAAAAAGTAGTTTGGGCTCTGCTATAAGGACATCCAGTACCTCAATAAGCCAGCGAGACAGCAGAAGGGCAAGGTCAGCTGGTTTGGCTCCAACCAGTTCTTGTGGTGCTTTTGTCACATGTTCGCTCCAGCGAGCCTGCATAAACTCACGTAACACCGGCCCCACACAGGCATCAAGGGGCTGTAGACGGCGAGAGCAACTGCGTGGGATCAGGCCTGGAAGAGTATTAACACTGTTGAGCGTCACCAAGAATTCATTGGACATGTGGCCTTTGTATGTGTCCATTATCAGCAATCCTTTGCCTCCAGAACTAGGGTTGATGTGCCGACACCACACTTTGTCCAACCAAAGCTGAAGTCTTTCTTCATCTGTGAACCCTTCTGGCCTAGCCTCCAGGATGAAGAAGTCTGGCAATGAACTTGCATCCTCCTTGAGAGGTTCGCCTCTGAGGAAAACCATGGTAGATAATAAGGTCCCGTCAGCCAGGGCTGTGAACACAATATCTATGAGTGGATCTGTGGTGCCCATCAACTTAAAAGCAGACAACATGGACGACGAATCTGCAGAGGCTTCTTCCAGCTGCTCCATATCTACAAAGATGGAAAGCTCATCCATGGCACCAATAGAAGACAACCTAAAGGATTCTGAGGTCACTTGCTTTTTTAGAAAGCTGCTGAAGGAGCTCTCGAGCTCCTGGGATTTATGCGGTAGCAACTTGCTGGATGTGGCAAACGCTTGCAAGCCCAGATCGTGGCGTAGCAAGAAATCAACCATTGAGTCGTAAGAGATATCTTGCACACCATGACTTCTCATGAACCCGAACAGGTTAGATTCATCGATAGGCAGTTGTTGCTCACGTTGGCATAGCACCCATTCGACTAAGCTATCAGCCACCTGTGATGTCAAACCTTCTCGGCTTCTCGAGGGATCAAGCTGAAGTTGCCGTTTCATAAGCAATGACTGGACTTCTTCTGGTGGAGTGTCGAAGTGATTGGCGGCCTGAGGGACCCCGCAGCAGAGTGCGTACAGTACGACTTTCAGCTGTGCCATGGTGAATGAGTTTTCTGCTGTATGTTCTGTATCAACTTCGGAAAGCCCTCCATTCAAAGCATCTGGATTGGCTTTACATTTTTTGTCTGGGACAGCACTTGGTTCAATTGGCTGAACCAGAATGGGAAGTGACAGTGTGCAAGCGGGGCTAGCAGGGAGCATTATTGTGTAGCTGGGTCGAGGAAGGGGGTTGGAGGAGAGAGGAAATGAGCTCCCGTCCACTTGCAAAGGCAAAAAGACCCCATTGTTGAGTCTTTGACCTCCTTGAAGAAGGTCCGTTGGGATGAAGACAAATCTATAATGACAGTAATTCATAAGTTACCTCTTCTGCTAAACTGAAAGTTAAATGTCTAGCAACTTCAATTCCATTGACTTTCATTACATGGGCAAAAAAACCTGATACGTATTTCAGAAAATCTTTTTGTGTAAAGGATTTCACACTGCGTAGTTCTAGGAACTGAATTCTAGGAACTAGCCAGCATGGTGGTTTCTAGAGAACCAATTTCTCCCTCGGACCGAACTCAGAAGCATCTGACAGTGACGTCTTTATTCATGTAATTTACAAACGCCAACAACTGGTGAATGGAGGATGCCGTGATCTGAGCTGTTTTTGTTGTGTTGTGGGAATCGTGATAACGAAGATGGAATGTAAACGTACAAAGAAATCTGACTAAATCTCCTATGACAACTTGCATTGTTACATATCATCGAGGGTAAGAAAAGAATACAACGCTGCAGACAACAGGTAGCTAAATGCCATTGTCGCTGTTTTCCATGTTCGTGGAGTAATTATTTTTATACAGCTTTTTTAAAATGCCGGGTAGCCGGTGTTTCGTATGAGTCTGACCAATCAGCGCACACTTGCGTCACTAATAGTTCCTCCCCGTTTTAGACCCTACTCTGAAGTAGGATCTAAATTAGTTCCCCCAAACTGAGTTACTAGAACTAAATACGTTCCTAGTTCCTGCGGTGCGAACATGCCAAAAAACGGGTACTTCTGCCAATAGTTCTAGGAATTATGAAAAGGTTCCTCCGGTGTGAAAGCCCCTTATGTTCCACAAAAGAAAGTCATACAGGTTTGAAATAACATGAGGGATGGTAAATGATGACAGATAATTTTTATGTGAACTATCCTTTTAAAACTTAAAACAAATTGAATCAACGTACCTTTTATAGCCAAGTGAAAATCCTTCTGAAACATAAGGAATATTATTAATAACTTGATTGTTATAGGATCATTATTAAAAGCTTGAGTTTTCTTTGTCAATTTTTTTTAGACAGAAATAACCAACTTACCCCGTGTGGTGCAATGGCTTGCTTGATGTTTAGGATAATCAGCAAGATGTTTGGCCATCAAATCCCCAACATGAGTTTTGTATCTACATGTGGTACAGCTTAACCGCCCCTTCCTGCAAACATTTAAATGATCATTATTGACAATAAAAGTAACATTACAAGCATACCAAAAGAAGCGAAAAAAATCTTACTTTGGGCAGGGTTTGTATAGGGTAATATATTTTTTAGTGCTTTTGCGAGGAACATGTTCACTGATCATGTGATTGGCATATGCTCTGGAACAGCAGGTGTTGTATCGGCAGAGGGAACAGCTCACATAGGTGGGGAAATGGTTGGAAAAATATGGAATGTCATAGTTGCATTCCATGCAGAAGTGTTTTTCTGTTGGCTTGCTGGAAGAACAAGATGATAGCCATTTGTCAGAAGATAAAAATCTATAAATATCTTTACGAAAATCTGATCTGCAATTTGTTTTCAAACGAAAGTAAATTAAAATCAATTCAAATTAGATAGATAGATAGATAGATAGCGGTGTAACGGTACACGTATTCGTATCGTACGGTTCACGGGGCAAATTCCAAATGGGAGTGATCATCCCTATGCCTTTGAAGGGCAGAGCCCTTGGAGTGGGGACTTTGGAGTGAGCAGGGCATGTGCGTGCCATTATGTAGTCGTTTGGAATGCACTTGGCAAAGGGAGCGAAGTAATTTCCACATTACCTTCAGCTGATGTTCCCGTGACAACGCAGCACGGTGTCCATCAGCAGATGTCGCTGTTTTACTGGCATATATTGTCTTTTTATTGTGGTTAGCATAACGGTTGCAAATAAACATACATTTTATATTTTAAAAGTTTTTAAAATATGCTATATAATATATAAAAACTAATATATATAAAACTTTTTAAAATATCAAATGTATATTTTTTATGCCGGTGTCCATCAGCGAATCTGCTGATGGACACTGTGCTGCGTTGTCACGGGAACATCCCAGCTGAAGATAATGAGGAAATTACATCACTCCCTTTGCCAAGTGCATTCCAAACGACTACATAATGGCACGCACGTGCCCTGCTCACTCCAAAGTCCCCACTCCAAGGGCTCTGCCCTTCAAAGGCACAGGGATGATCACTTCCATTTGGAATTTGCCCCGTGAACCGTACGGTACGAATACGTGTACTGTTACACCCCTAATAGATCGAGCGAGCAAATACTCACCACTGACTCTGAAACTTGACCATTAGCTCCACCATGCTTTCCACTGTTTTTTTCTTCAATGGGACATTTTGAGATGCTACAAGTGTTGATGTGGTGTTTGAGGGAGTCTTCAGTGGAGGTGCTACTAAATTATCTCTGTTGTCAGTACTGTCAGAATAAGCTCGGATGGTTACCTGAAACGGACATGGAAAATGGTAATGCTATCAAACATGCAGTTAATAAGCAATAAATCAGTAGCGGTGTTAACATTAAGTGACATGGCATCTGTGACTGGGAGTTAAAAACAAACTAACCCTAGTGCCAGGCACAAGACCCTCCAATTGCTTGGGCTTGACAAAGGTCCTGTGAAACTTTTGTCTGTGTTGCCACTCGTCCTTCTCACGGATGAACTGAAGTCTGCACTTGTCACAGTGCCTCGCTGTTTTTTTCTGGATGCACAAACGCATACCTTAACAGGAGCTTTCTGACACATCA